GGCATGAATAGGGGTTGTTACACTCCGTACTGTTAATCCGTCACAAAAAACATTAATTGAACTTAGTGACAAAGGAGTTCCGTAAGAGGCTTTGCTTACTGGTTTGTGGAGCATAACAGATTAACTGGGAAATCTGCATGTTTGGCATTGACATTTTGCGATTTAGTAATATATGAAGACGAGAGTCTTCAACTTTCCAGCCACAGTAACTGAATATATATATTTATTTTATTGTTGAATTCATTTCCATAACAATACTTGTACAATTATGTTTTTATTATGGTACGTTCTCAAAAAACACTTATCATGTGTTCAATACGTGTAATTCAAAGTATTCATACTTTACAATCAGGAATATTACATATTTCCTTACTCTAAAGACATTTTCATACTTTATTAAATTATTTTCTTGATTTTTTATTTCTTAAACACACACTCAAGCTGTAGTGTATATCCTTGTTGTTTAACACTAAGAAATTTTAAAGTACTCCAAGGCATTATATCCTCAATCAAGTAGGTAATTTGGTTAATCAATATAGCTGCAATTGTACCGAATAAAATCGATCCTACAGCTGGTTATTCAAAGGTTATGTTTAGCAGTTCATAAATAAGAAACGAATCGTACATAATTTGCGCCTCACTGTCCGTTATTACCAACTGTGACTGCAGGCGCGATCTGTCTACCTAAGAATTATGGAATTTATTGGAGACTAGATGCTACCCGCGACTTCGTTTGCGTGGAATTTGAACAGCACTGGCTTAGTAGTTCGATTCCCGGACCGGACAAAGCCAAAATAGACTTAAGTTACCCCTTATATAGACCTCGTAGTAAAATATCAAAATCGGTCAAGCCGTTTTGAAGATTACCCGAAACAAACAGACAGACAGATAAAAAATATTTAAGCTGGTTTTTAGGCATAGGTATCTTGCAAATAATCGTGCATGCATGAAGAAAACCTATTGACATTACAAACAGACACTTCAATTCTATTTATTTCTACAGACTATTGATAAAGACTATAGAAGACTAATCATCATCAACGTAAGTGCACATACATAAAATTATATATCATACTTGCCCTGACTGACTGACTAATTCATCAACGCAGAGCCTAAACCGCAGGGGTGATAAACTTCAAATTTTTGCAGCTGATGTTTTTTTATGTTTGAAGCACCCGCTAAGAAAGGGTGTTTGGTAATTTCATCCTTAAAGGAGTAAAGTAGGGTTGTATGGAAGTTCGTCATTTTCAAAGTTAGAAAAAAACAAAGGATATTTGATATTTTAAAATTAGACAACGCCCGCACTAGGAATATATCCTCTGTCGCGGGGGACTCTACAAACATACATGAAACGGTCACAAAGAACACCCATACTCAGAACAACCATTTGTGGATCACACAAAGTGTCGTCCCATGTGGGGATCGAACCCACGACAGTGGTAGGCAGCGGCGTGGCAACCGCTTAAACCACTACGACATCCGTGCAGTCTAATTAATATTCATGTCAGCGAAGTCGCGGGCAATAGCTAGTATCATCATAAACAGAGAATCGAATGAGTTCAGAGTAGTTATTATTACGTCTTACAATACGAATGTAACTAAAATGGCGACACCACGGGCTTGTTGAGCTAGTGGTTAGTGGTCCTAACTGCTAAGCTAAAGGTCGTTTGTTCGCTCAACCCCCCAAACAAATAATTGTGTGATGAGAACAATCATTTGTTTTGTGTCTGTGTCTATCTATATTATTTATAAAATATACAAAAAATAAAAACACAAAATATTAAAACCAAAAATATACAACCTTTATTATATTAAGTAATTATCACGCCCCGAGTTCTTAGCCGCGGTTTAACAATGAATTAAATAAATAAATGTTTTAATAAATAATTGTGTGATGAGCACGATTGTTTGTTGTAGATAATTGATCTGGGTGTAATTTATCTATAATAATAGTATGTATTTAAGTAGTTTATCAGTAGTCTGGTTACCATAGTACACGCTCAGCCTAGTTTGAGATCAGACGGCCCTGTGTGAGAGGTGTGAGGTTATTATTATAATAAGAGCTTAACTTGTTTAACCGGATGTATAAACGGACGGAGCTGCAGTTGTAGCCGTACACCATTTGTGGGTAGAACACAAGTCGTGTGTAATTTTGAAAGTTTTCAAAAAATCTGAATCAAGCGGATAGCTACTAACGCTGTATATTTTTCGTGTTTTTGCTTTCAAAAACCGCAAACTTTAACCCCTCAACAACAGTTGCTTAACCCTAAATTTGTTTACTTTTACTCTTTTTCTTGTCAAAGAATGAGTGCTTGTAGGGATTGACTAAAATACAATCACATATGATAATTTATATGATTTTTATATCATATCATCACAACTATGTCTGATTTATAAAACCACTGCTACTTAATTATTATTATTACGCTAGCACAAGACTCGCGAAAGGTCTAAATCTAAAAAAGAGATCGTAATCTCGTAATCTTTGATTTAAAAATACTTTGATTGTTTTTATGCCATTTATCTTTGTCTATGAAGAAATCACAATCACATGTGTAATCGCTGTGTCTAAAACCAATAATTTTACCAAATGAATATGATTTAAAAGTAGCAATAATTGCCATCTCTAGTGCTTTGCATGATTAATGGTTTTATGGCAAGGATAAAGTTTTAGAGCTTATGATTAAATACTTTTACTACTAGTTTGTCGCACCTTGGCGCTAATCTGCTCGTGTTGGAAACTGTATATTGTCTAACGTATTCCCACGAAATACACCGTTGCTAACGGGGTAAGTAGCAAAGAAACTACCTTTTCTCACTCCATTATTACCTTGAAGAAATTATAGGTATTGGTATTTAACACAAATCATTTAAATAGCGTTTCTGCTTTGAGTTTCTTTAATGGGTGTACTGTAATTTAAAATTATCTGTGTTTTCATTTCAAAGGATTTTTTTCGAATTAAACGTAAGTTTATTTGTTTGTTACGCTTTTATCCTTAAACTCCTGAACCGATCATCACGAAACTTTGCATGGACCTTGCCAGAAGCACAGAAAGGGGCGTAGGATATCTAGATGTAGGATACAGAAGAGGCACAAAAAAGTATTGTTCCCGATACTATTAAGAAGTTCTCGCGATGTTTCGGCAACTCATGATGTGCACGAAGCTTTAATGATAAAAACATTACCTAATATGTACAACTAAATAATAGCAAACACCAATTGTCTTACATTTATTGCTATCAGACCAGCTGCTTTTGCTTTTAATTTCAGTAATGCCTGTAGGATAAAGGACGACTGCACGAATGGCGTAGCCTGTAGGACGACTGCACGAATGGCGTAGTGGTTTAAGCGGTCGCCACGCCGCTTCCTACTACGCCGAGTGTTGTGGGTTCAAACCCCACATGGGACGACACTTTGTGTGATCCACAAATTGTTGTTCTGAGTCTGGGTGTCCTTTGTGTCCGTCTCATGTATGTTTGTGGAGTCCCCCGCGACACAGGATTTATTCCTAGTGCGGGCGTTGTCTTTTTAAAAGAAGATAAAAAAAAAAAAAAAGATGTGTAATAAAAAAAGCGGTATTTTCTCGGTATATTAAAAAACAAAGAAAAGCACCTTTTTTTGAACTTTTAGTTTTTTTTTATTATTAGTTCAAATAATAAAAAAAAAACTAAAAGTTCAAAGTGTGTGCTAGATGTCAATTGATGTTTTAGTGTCAGTTATTGGTAAAAGTATTTTTTTTAATTTAAAAAATTCTAGAAAAGCACCCCACGCTTTTTTTACTATTATTTTCTATTTTATAATTCGGCTAGTTACCAAAGTGCGTTTTTTTAAACTACACTTAATTTTTGCTTTTTCAGTCAATAGCGATAATAATTTTTATTTTGATTTGTCTTATTAAGACTAAAAAAGTAAAAAGTACGTCGCACAAGACACTACCGTATTTTTAGATATGGAAGAAGGCGTTAATGCTGAATGTCCTGATTAGGATAATCGAATTTTTTTATAAAATTATTGTATTGTCATCGGTCTTTGATGAGTGTGTGAAATTTCAATTCTATCCAACGTTTTAGAGTGGGTGACAATCACCTAATATGATTCCGTCATGTAGATACATACCGAACTCATAAAAACGGGTTAAAAAGTATCATATTTATATTTGTAAACTAAAAGAAAACTTAGCTTACAAACTTCTGTAAGTAATTTGCAATCATGTAAAGGCATTTTATTAGATTTATGCGAGAACAGAAAATGTATTCCACTAGGGAGCTATTTATGTAGCTGAATAAATAATGTTGTTGAAAATAATTCCAGTATTTTTTTGTCATAAACATAATGAAATGGAAATGAGCAGGCGTTATAGTAAGAAGAAAAGTTGGTGAAGATAGAAACAATGCTGGATGAAGGTGACCCAAACAAGATCCCAAAGCAGATTAGCCAACGATGAGAATAAATTCAGTATTCTAAAGTAATATATACCTTACATAAGACGATATTCGGATCAAATTGCAGAAAGGGAATCGTGATAGCACACAGTGAAAGTTAGACTTTCCATATATGTACCTACTCTCTTTGGTATTTTACACCTTACGCCCTTTAATCACGACTAACCTAAGTTGTACATACCAAAAACGTAAATATCAATACCTAGGGCGTCGAAATACATACCTACTTACATTATATTTTTGAGTAGGTACAATATTATTTATAAATCTAAAGTGAAGGAGATATAGCCATTATCTTGATTAGTGCCTTAGTTAAAAACTAAGTATCTAATTGTGTATGTAAGTTTATGTTAGTTTTATATGTTTATTGAGAAATAAAAAAATCATTATACCCATTAATTACAACTGTAACCTCTGTGGGGTACATACCTTACAAGATTTTTACACAACCCAAAAGTTGGCTGGTAGAAAATGCCCTGGGCATTAAGTCCGCCGATGTACGTAAGTGCATGAAGTTGTAGATAAATAAACAAATAAATAAAAACGATTACACATACCGTAATTTGAGTGAACAGGAGCCAATACGAAGTGCGGCTTCCAAAACAGTGACTGCCGACTGGTACTGCCCTGCAGCCAATAGCTCTTGACCAACTACCTATAAACATAAGGATAATGGTAGTAAAGCTTTCTTGGTATGCTATGTTAACCTAGCTAAGGCGAATTAACAACAAGTGTAATATAAACTGAAGAATGATTACATAATACTAACTAATTATGTCTATCAAAGCTTCATTAACAGTGGAATTCAATTAGTGATTTCATAATTTTTTAATAGATAACAACTCAGTTTCTTTTTTGTCGACGTCTCTAATCCACGAATTCATCACAAGTATTGAAGCTTTTTTGTACACATTTAAAATCAATGCCTAAAGTGAACAGTCACAGATACTGGCGCATTTTTTTTATTCCACACGTTTATTATGAAGAATTTCTTTAGATATTAATCATACTTTTTAATTTAAGTAGCCCAAAAATATATAATTTAAGGCGTTAATATAGTTATAGACGTAAATCACATAAGAACAAACTTTGTTCATGCTTATGGTCGTGGATTTGTTTATTAAAGGGTTCCGTTGAATATTTTACACCGACTTCTGAAGCATACTGTCGGCAATTCGACCATATCGGTGCTCTTGATCTCGCATTTCAAGTCATTTACTTTTTAAGCTCGACATAATAATAAACTAATGTGTGTTCAAAAAAACCGCTTGTGAGTATCACGGGCGGACACAAAAAGCGCGACGAATCTTAAAATGCCATTAGGTTTGCCATTATGATGACTCCAATGAAACATTTAACAAAACGATTTCAAGTTATCTTTGTAATGTATAAAGTAATAATGTCGTATTCGAGAACACCCAAACTGCTTAGTGAAATTGGAGCTTTTCAAGTAATATTTGCATTTTGAGGGTAAAAAACGAAGTATGCAATTTTTAACGAATTCAGAAGAAGGGTTTCAATGTACAGCATTCATTGAATGTATTACATTATATATTTAGTTATAGATATGTGGCCCTAATCTGCTTGAGTTATTTGAGTTATTATGCTCAATGTATGTATGTAATTATAGATAATTATTATACGTAACAGCAGGTCTTGATACAACTGACAATTCAAAAAAGTTTCTTATAAAAACTAAATACGAATTAGTAGTGTATTTTGAAGAATTTGCCAAGGTAAGTTAAATTTAAAATGTTACTTTTGCCATCTTTAAAAAAAAAAAAATATTGATCGAATTTCTTTAAGAACAGATATATGAATTTGGGAAGTCCCTTGCCCCCATTTACCATAAAAAACACTATAATAATTTATTAATAATATTTTCACGAATCTCACACACGGCCGTCTGATCCCAAACTAAGCAATGTCTGTAATATGGTAACCAGACTGCTGATAAACATACTTATATATTTCTAAATACATACACATTATAGATAAAGTACACCCAGACACAGAACAAATGACCGTGATGATCACACAATTATTTGTCCTGGGTGGGCATCGCACCCACGATCTCGCGCGTAGCAGTCAGGATCACTAACCACTTGACCAATAGACCAGTCATTAGTTCAACACACTCTTTAATAAAGATTTCTGTTTAACTAAATAGTGGGCCAGAAGTACCAAACCAATTGTATGTAGGTAATTTATTTGATAGCGTTGTAACTTTCAGTCAATTAGCGTGTAACGTAAAAATTCGTAATAACTTTGAAAAATTACAAGCAGTAAAATACCCATGAGGATTTTTGTTCACTAACATAATGTATGGTTTTGCTCATACTGGTCAATTTATATTTTTCAGTTCAATTTGCAATGCGGCAGACGGCAGCCATTTTGTGGTAGCGCGACACCATTTTGGCCATTCACGTCTGTGCTGCCGATCAACTGTCTCGCAGATTGTATGTAAATTCGAGGGGGTCGGTCGCGTATTTATGGGCCTTTGATCACTCAGCCCCATTGTTTCACCGGTAAATGCGCCGAAAAATGTCCCGATGTCGCCGGACTGCACGCCCGTGGAATGTATGCAAATATAAGACTCGTTGTGTATCAGGTGCTTAATATTGGCAACCGCAAAAAGGTCTAAATGTGCCATTATTTGTATAATGATACGATTAAATTACTTTTTTCTTTTAGTACGTCAGTTTTATTCTATTGTGTAGATGCAAAAGAGTTTCGTCAGAAAGTCAATAATAATTTTTATGAAATTAAGAACGAGGCAGTTAAATTGATAAAATTGTGTAACTGCGTTCGTACAAGATTTAAACACTAGCCTCAAATTAAACTAAATTTATTTAATTATTATATTTAATTTACCTTACAATCTCACAGCTAAATACATAGTAATATACATCGGTATATAGAACTATAAAAAAATATATTTTAAATCCTAAAATCAGAATCATAGTAATCTTTAGAAATGTACATTAAAGTGTGCATAAGGGGGGGGTCTAATTTATTTATACGATTTCGATAGATGATTTACTTTATAAGGTAAAATACTTGGCAAGCATGTTTAATTTCCAAATAAATCCACAATTAACTGAAACCAAATAAAAATCCTCGTCCTTATTTTGAATACGAAAATTCGAGACGATGTCTATAGGTTCTTGTCTTTTATGTAAATTGTATCTTCGTCGCATGTTCCTGTCTCAGTTGAGGGAACGACTGACAAGATGCATATTTCCGGATACGTTAATGGCCTGCATTATATTTGGATAACGTCTGCTCTGGTCTTAATGGCGTTTGTATTGTCCATTGCTGTATTCGTGAGGTGGAAACTGTATTATTTGCCGTAAAATTGTATAATAAGATAGTAAATCCTGTTTTGTTAACCGACTTCAAAAACACAAAAGAGGAGGTTATCAATTCATCTGTATTTTTTTTTCAGTTCAAATCGTTATTGTGTTTTATTTTTATCAAAACAATTGTTAAATGGCCTCGTGGTTGAATTAAGGAAATATAATAATTTCTCACAGACTTGCGTGGCAAGGCGGTTGGGAATTCGAATGCAACAGAAGGGGGTTGATTTCCGCTTACTGCTAATATTTGTATGAAAGGATGTAAATAATGAAAAAATAATAATAATAAAAAATAAATGTTAGTATGTTTGTTCGGGTCCTAGAACCTAGGACCTAGAAAGAGCTGTGTAATATAAAATGTTCTGTCCTAGAATATTAAAGAATTGTATACTTCCTCCCTACTACAAATAGACAAACAAGCTTGTTTGTGTGCGTGTACTGATTAAAATACACACTTATATCTGTCTGTAAGTATGTCTATTTCATTTCCATAAGATTTTTTTAAGAATAATAATAATAATAATAATAAAAAACAAAAAAAAAAAAAACAACGTATCAGCACAACGATTGTCGGATCAAGTACGAGCTATACAGCGCTGTCATCTGCTGGATGATGCAGTACTTGAGAGGATACGCTCTGACTTACGGAATAGCTTGATTATCCCTTCTTCGTCACACACTGTGGATTTGGTAGCTAATAGCACACCTCAGTTAGTATCACACACCAATGATGTTGATGAATTAGTGGAGGGTGAAGTTATATCTGTAAGTACCCAATACAATGATAGGATAAGGAGCGCTTTGGAGGATGCGATTCTAGAGTACCGGTATGTGAATTGGAATAATAGACCCCGATTGTCCCGTTTGCCCATTCATAAACGAAATTTAGCGCTTGTGGGTGCCCTGGATTCGTTATTGCCTGATTATTTAGACAATAGCGAAGATCTTGGTGATACACATTCTATTCTGTATTGTGCGGCTGTTGCAGTTTGTCGAGTAGCTGGTGTTAATATAGTTGAAAATGTCACTACTACTCGACCTAAATCAACTGTACCAGCTTGGCAGTGTAGAATTGAACGTCGTATTGCTGAGACCAGGGTGCTTATTGGTAAGCTAATTAGTTTTAGATCAGGGAATACGCGGCCGAGAGTGATGCGCTTTGTGAAACAGGCATTCTTGGGGACTACCATTGGTCCTCAACAGTACATGTCATGTGTCACAGAGCGCATAGACTTTCTAAAGCAGAAAATTTATGCATGGGCAAATAGGTTAAGACGGTACAAAAAACGAATAGATCGGTATAATCAGAATCGGATGTTCCAAAGAAATGAGAAGTGGGTGTACCGGAAATGGGAGGAACCGGATCCATGTGTGAGTCACAAAATGTCACACATACTTTTTGGCGAAACATCTGGTCGGTGCCTGTCACTCATATAGAAGGTGATTGGTTGCGGGATGTCAGACGCTCATGTGAGTCTATAACACCTATGGAACCAGTTATAATTGATAAAGATGATGTAAGCTGTGCAGTTCGTTCATTACCGAATTGGAAATCACCAGGTTTAGACGGACTGCACAATTTTTGGCTTAAGTGGTTCCGAAGCTCACATGCGTGTTTGGCATCTCAATTCCAGGCAGCTTTGGATTCGGGTTCATTACCCCAATTTTTAACCACTGGTATAACCCACTTACTCTATAAGTCTGGTAGTGTCATGGATCCCAAAAATTTTAGACCTATTACATGTTTACCAACCATGTACAAACTTCTTACATCTATTCTGAGACTCAAAATTACTTTACACATTAATAATAATTCGATTATGTCAGTTTCTCAGAATGGATGTAGAAGTGGGAGCCGTGGCACTAAAGACCTCCTTATTATAGACAGGGCCATTAGCCAATAGGTGCGTCATAATCGTAAGAGTTTGGCGACATGTTGGATAGACTATAAGAAGGCTTATGACTCGGTTCCACATACATGGCTTTTGAGGGTGCTGGAGTTGTATAAAATTGATACAACTCTGTGCACTTTCTTGAAGTCATGTATGGGGCAATGGAGAACAGCGCTTCGTTATCCAGGATGTCGGCAGACGACGGTAATTGATGCACCAATAAAGATTGAGCGGGGTATATTTCAAGGTGATAGTCTGAGTCCCTTGTGGTTTTGCCTGGCTTTGAACCCTCTTAGCACTTTATTAGAGGGTTCAGGGCTAGGCTATAGGTTGCAGAAAGATGATCAAGTTATATCTCACCTTCTTTATATGGATGATTTGAAACTACTAGCCCCCACCAAATT